TCCACTGGCTGATAGAGGCTCAGATAGCTGACAAATGACGTCACTGTCAGATAAGGGAACAAAATCCGATATTTTCATCATATATTTTACTCGTTGGATTATTACCAGACAATTTACAATTTAGAGGGACTGGTCCTAAATCTTTTAAAAGTTATTTGCACACGTAGCATCCTTGAACTGATATTAAATCATAACATGCAATGTGATTGTTTTAATTTCGATGACGATATAAAAATGCTTAATTTTATTCATACATATTATCCATTGTAATGAAGATTACAATATGATGCTATAACATTCTTAACCAATTCATCTGAAAATTAAATATCTTTTGTGTGTGCACTCCCTTACAGTTTGCAATGTATGCATACCCTAAAAATCCATGGACTTTAATATAGGGTCATTTTAGAGCAGGCGGTCTTTATCTGTGCATCTCTCGCACCCGCCATCGTCCAGGTAAATGTTTAACGGTTTATTATATCCTCGGTCCCGTGGCCTTTTTGTCAATACATTTCACTTATAAAAAATAACACGTGTACAATAAATGTGGATACATGTTTGTTATTGTCGTTTACGTTACACCGAAAACATAGGTTAAAACGATATAAAAATTGTCTATAGAAATTAATAGATTAATCTAAGGAAATAAAGTAAAACTAGTAGGCTGTACTTTTAAAACTGATAGTATATTTCATAATTATCACAACACTTTTGTCTGCTAACAAAATTAATATGAAGTGTTAATTTGAATTACAAAACAATCGGCATCCTCCGGCGCGCGCTGGCGCTGGCCCAGTTCTCACATCTGCACTGGACATAATTCCAACGCCGTCACACTATAAATAACACTAATTACATGTCAAAATAAAGATTTCACAAGTTATCTATACTATTATAATAAAGCGTAAACACACACTTCTTTCTTGCCTAAGATGTCAGCAATTACAGCATATTTTTGAATAATTATTACTTTAATAAAAAGCCCTACACTTACGTCACGCTTTACGCTATATATTTCACGCCATTAAACTTAGGGGGTAAATATTTTGGATAAAAACCCTAATTTGGGAAAGAGACCATAAGTTGCTGCCAACATCAAGGAAACAAGATTGCCAAGGTTTGTCATGTCATGTCATTGATAATTTGACAAATGTAAACAATGAAAATAAAATTCATAATTTCATGCGGATGAAGCCGCACGGGAACAGCTAGTTAAAGTAATATAATGTCATAATTTATAATAATATCAGTGAAATAAGAGTAATTAATCCTGTATTCATATTTTAAGGCAAAGATATTTTTAACATTGTTCGCAAAAAATTGCAAATTCTGTAATGATTCTGATAAAACGCTTTTGCTCATGTAATATAACTTCAGCTTCACTTACTCTAAAAACCTACTACAACATTGTATCTCAATTTTTATAAGTTAACTGTAAGCGAAAATGTAATGGCCATCATAAAGAAGTTTGGTTATTTAGGCATTAGAACAATTTGGTATTCCTTTACCTTAAAAGTTTACAAATGCAGATTTTAATAATTATTATTTTACGAACTGAATTTGTAATATAAAAGTATTTATCTTCGATATCAAATAATGAATCTTAACATCATCATTACCGTGTAATTGCATGTTAAAAAAAGTCGTGCTCAACAACACCCTATTCGAATTTCCATCGAATATTAATCGATTAAATGTAATTAAAAGTAAATAAAATCGATACAGTTATATCATTTATATCGATGAAAAACAGATGATCCTCATTTTTAATACGGTAAATGATTTAACATATTTTTAAAAGCCCACGCTCTAGTAATCTGTGTACTTTACTTTTACACTCGGTTTTATTGAGCTTAAGGTTATCCGAAAAGAGGTTTTATTGCGAAATTAGATGCTAACGATAAAAGAACATAAACTATGTTATCTTGATATCATTTCCTTCCTTCGTTATTTTTGTTGTTCTTTTTTTAACTGGACGTTGCCAGTATGTATCTTCGAGTAATAAAATAGTAAAAAAATTGCTGAATGCTGAACTTTGTCCAAATAGTCTGAAGTCGCATGTAAGGGTTTTTTTAAGTTTGTTTTTGCGAATTAGTGCCGGGAAGCACGTAGTTTTTTTGTTATGAAATAAATTAAGCAGTTATGTAATATATATAAAAAAAAGGAATTGTATTAACATATAATGATTTATTTTTGTAAATATTTAACATATAAACAAGATTATGTGTTCGAACATTTAGTTTTTTATTCCAACACGTTCAATAAATGTCAGATAGAATGATCGGAATCACTTGCGTTAATTAAATTCATTCAGACTTCCACACCGGTCGCCCTGAGTGAGTAATTATAAATTGATTTCGATTTATTGATTTTGCTACGTGACTGTAATACTCTAACCAAGTCATAATTATAGGTGAGTTATGAGTGAACTTCTGTCACTAACAATGTTGACTCCGCCGACTAAAGTCGGAACAAATATTCAGGCACCAACTTCTCTAGTCTACACCTGTCATCGAGAATATTTAATAGTCTATGCACAGTTTTTCATGTATACAATATCTTTGTTCCAGCCTATTCGAACAGGAGATAATGAGCTACGTGCCGGCTGGTGTGTGCGGGGGTTGCGCAGGGTGCGGCGGGTGCGGAAGTTGCGGCTCCCCCGCGGCGTCACCGGCGGCTGCGCGCTGCACCCGTGCACCCGCGCCGCAGCGACGCGACTTCGAGGCCAAACTGCGCGCCTTCTACAGAAAACTGGAGACTAAGGGCTATGGACAAGGGCCCGGGAAACTCAAGTAAGTCTCCAATAGAAATCGAATCAAGAGTAGATGGTCAAAAACTAGGATAACCTGGTACTTTATATTGAATTGTGACCCAACAAACATCTTCCAAAAGTAAAGAATGAATAAAAATGTACTGAAGGAGGTACTTAACTGACATAAACTTAATACTACATGAAAGACGTCTCTTCGAAACTGCAACAACTATCTTGACCAGTTGGCGAAATCTGTAAGGAAACGCCATTAACACGAAATATAAAATAGAATCTTGTCCAAAAACCACCTATGACCAGACGGTAAAAATTATACTATTTGTACTATAACTTAGTTTAACTAGTCCATTTGTCATTACAATATATGAAACTACAAGTATAAACACATAATTTCAGGCTGCACATTCGACGCGAGCATCTTCTAGAAGACGCGTTCCGTCGCATCATGTCGTGCGGCAAGAAGGAGCTGCAGAAGGGCAAGCTGTGCGT